GAGAGAAAAAAAGAGAAACGAAGAGAAGAGAGAAGAAGAGAAAGAGTAAAGGAAAGAGAAAGAGAAGAGAGGAGAGGGGAAGAGAAGACAAAGATCAGAGGCCATCCCATCCCAAAGAGGACCTGACCAAGTGGGGACACAACATCTGGGAGATGGGAAAGGCGGCTCAGCCTCCTTGGGGAGTGTGGGGGGGGTCACCTTCTGGGGCCCCCCGTACCTCTTTTCACCCTTTGTCCCCCCCCTCCAAGAAGCAGGGCCCCACCTGGGAGGGGCCCCCACAGCAAGGCAATGGCCGGGAGCCCTGGGGGCGCAGCGGGCAGAATGCAGTACAGGTAGTCCTCCACTTACAATGCTTCATTCAGCGACCGTTCAAAGTTACAACGGCGATGAAACAGGTGACTTATAGGGCCCCGTGATCAAAACTCAGATGCTTGGCAAGGGACCCACACTTATGACGGTTGCAGCGTCCCTGGGAGGGGGGGGGTGTCACGTGATCCCCTTTGGTGACCTTCTGACAAGCCAAGTCAAGGGGAAAAGCCGGGTTCGCTTAACGACTGGGTGGCTAACTTATCAACGGCGGTGATCCACTTAACAACCGAGGCAAGGAAGGTCGTCAAAATGGGGCTTAATGAGTGTCTCACTTAGCAACATAAATGTTGGGCTCAATTTGTGGCCGCAAGTCGAGAACTACCCGCATTGCAGGCAAACTCTTACGTTCCCACAGCCAGCGGTTCGATCCTGACCGGCTGAAGATCAACTCGTCCTTCTGTCTTTCTGAGGTCAATAAAACGAGGACCCGGATTGTTGGGGGGGGGGGGGGGGAAATGGAGGAGTGGTCCCTCCAACCTTTCCCCCTTGGAGGCCTGTTAGAATCTGACTCCGAGGGAGAGGAGGAACAGCCGACAGGGAATGGAGGTGTGGCTCCGGAGGTTGTGGAGGAGGCTGGGGAAGGGCAGAGGCCGGCTGGGCCGTCAGAGGAAGACCCAGGCCCATCCCCTCTTCATACTAGGGCACACAGGGAGGAGTGGATAAGGGAGCAACATGAATGGCGTGGTCTACGGGGGAGGAAGAGGCCTTGATCCCCTTCATGGGCTGCAGCTGTGAGCCCTGTTTAAAAGGACAAAGTGCACATGGCAAAGTTGCTGGAAGAAAAGCGTGAAAATATTTCCAGTCTGTCAGTTCTTATCTGAGTTCTGGCGTCCTTCCCAGTGTGTGTGCATTTCGGTATCTGTGGACGTCTTCAAGCCCTTACCTTCCTTGTCTCCTTAATTGCTTCCGTGTGGTTTGTGTTGTTTTTTTCTATTTATAATTTATATGTATTTTGAGTTTGAACGGCATTTCTTCCTTTTCACAACTGTTTGTGGGGGAGTTTTTTTCTCTCCAGTCAATGATAATTGGACCTTTAAAGCCAAGTTGAAGGAATTAAAGGGACTTCACCGGTTTTTGTGACTTTGTCGCTTTTGTAACCCACCCTGGGTCATCACACCTGGCCTGCCGCAGGGAGGGGAAACGTGTGGGTGGCAGGCGTCCACGCACCCACCTTCCGCTCACACGAGGGTTTCGCGCACGAGCGCAAGGTGCCCACCACTTGCACGAGGGTGGTAACCACGCCATGACCCATCGCTTTTGCATCCTGGGTTGAAACAGGATACGGCCCAGTAGTGGGCTGTGATCCGTGGCGGGGTGGGGGGGGCTGTGGGCCCCTGCCACGGAGTACCTGATGCCCCCTTGCCCAACGCATCCCACCAACCCATCCGAGCCCAGGCCCTCAGAGGCGAAGGGAAGGGGAAGCCAAGCGCCAGGCAGGGAAAGAGGCCGGGGTCCCGGGGGGAGCGAAAGAGAAGGGGGGGGGGCGCGTGTTAGAAGCCAAGAGGGCTGGGGCAGCGGGATCAAACTCGACATCAGCTTTGGAAGCCACGTTCCACGCTGCCACATAGCCTGAGAAAGTGGGTTGTTATATGTTTATTGGATCACTCTGTGTGTGTGTGTGTGTGTGTAATAGCAGGGTTATTGTAAATTACAGGGTTA